GACTTTGAAATCGACGTAAGTAAAAGTCTTGGGTGCAGTTTAACTCAGTGGGGGACAGAATTGTACATAGTAAAGTTCGCAGCTTCATAAGAGCCTACAGGTATCAACTGCGTGCAAAATGCCCCTTTCTTTAAGAGCGGCAAATCTTGTTCCTTTTCAGGACGTTGTCAACTGTGAGGAATTCAACCAACTTTCGGCTGATCAATTAATTGAACTGATTTCAAATGAAGAGCTAAATGTGCATTCAGAAGAGCGGGTGAGTAGAGGAAGTGGGAACAAGGCACATCATTAGTTGGGGATTTTGGTCGAATCCATACGACCGCCCCCCCCCCACCTTCCCTGAGAGGTGGCTTGATACAGTCCACTCCTAGTTCCATTCTAATCGAGCCCTGCTGAGCGGAAGGGAGCCGGCGAGAAAAATACAACCCTCCTCCTTTCTCATCCTTCCACTCCGCTTGAATTCAGCCAGTTTCCAGACAGTTTTTTAGAATTTCTCGAAAATTCTCCTGGTTTCTCCTGAAAATTTACTGTCGAGCGGGGAGCATGTGAAATAGAAAAAAAACACGAAAAGTCAACAACCTCTACCAGAGAGCCACAAGACAAATACGATGCCTCCTTCCAAAACGAGCAAATACGACCCCTCCCCCTCTAAAGCGTCCTTGAAGCAAGAAAAATCAACTATTAAGAAAAAATTTTCGGACTAAAGACGACCCGGGAAAAATCAACCTTTGAGAAGTTTTTCTCATATTCAATACGACCTTCACCACTCCTTCCTCCCCCCCCCCAACTGACCGATACGACCCTCGCTGTGGGGATCTCCGCAACGATTGAATGGTTAGCTCTAAGTTGAACTTGCATTTATTTTTATTTTATCCAGGTGGATTGTCCTTATTCGTTCGCACGGATCACTACCTATGGATATCCTTTCAGGTTTTCGCGGCAGTATCTCGATGGGTCAGATTCGATCTGCCAAATCGGGAACCACTTCTCTCAAAGGTAAGCCCTCGTCCCCCGCGTGCTAACCGGAGAAGGCCACTTTTTGACCACTCGCTCATATGGCATGTTGTGCCATAGCCTTACAGCACTCACACGTTACAAACAGCAGTTATCAACAACAATAAAGCTGAAAGTGTTGCAATCAGATAGGACACTGTTTCACAAAGTTTTGCAGTTGTTGGAACACGTTCGCCTTCCGCTTTGTCAGCCAAAGTTCCTTGTCAACACAGTCAGTAAAGACGCTTTGGTAATGGCAGATATTGCGTGCCGAGATCTTCTCGATGAAGCAAAGGTTGGTTGTTCAACATGCTTTGAATCACTCCAAAACAATCCAGAATACTTTTTCCCTTTGCAGAATTTCCAACTACTCCAATTATCTGCGCATGTGAAACCTGAAATGCAAGGAACGCGCACCACACCACGAAAATCATTCAGATTTGGCGAAGTATTATACGTTGGTACGGTAGAGTCCTCAGTTTTTCCCAGTTCTCTATTTTGTGAAGTATAAGGCGCACCCGTTTACTAGGTGCAGCCATGCCTCAAACGCCGTTAATGTTTTTTTTTCGAACATTCGATTTTTGTATTTTTTTCTACGCTTTTATCTATGTGAGTGATCTATAACGAATGGGGAGGGCTTGAAAGCCGGCTGGAAGATTAGAATAGGCTAAAAGGTCAACTGCTTGTTGAATAACATTTTGCGCGCGTTATAATGTGCGTACTTACAGCTGTGCAAATAAATACGCCTTTTACCTCAAAAAAAGAAAACAGCGTACTTGATCATGACACGGCATCTTTGTTGCATCTCATTCGGACGAAGAATCGGTAGATAAACATACGTGCTCTATAAATTAGTGTGTCTATTTCCGTTCCGGGCAGGAGGTGGATAAGTGGCGCGCTCACCACTCGCGCGGTCCTGGGTTCGAATCCCGGGTCGACTCCCGCCCAGGCCAACCAAGCCTTCTACCTCCGGGGACGGTGAATTGGTACCAGATTCGTCTGGGAGGATAAAACACTGACTTGTACATCGGCTGGCCCCCGCAAGTCATTGTATAGGCCACATCGCATTCAATAAGCCACTACGGCGCAGTTTGTCGACGGGGGGGGGGCATTTTGCTTTCCATAGATGTGTCGACCCATCTAGGCAGCCGTTTCTCGAGTTGACACGTTTTAGGATAGTGGCTAGACGATCTTGCTTCAGCTTCACAGATCACCAGCGCCAGCCACTACGATTCTGAATGGAAGTGCTAAGCGTGGCGCCCCTTTAATTAATTGACCAACGGCGGAGACTTTATTCTTTATTTCCACTCCGTTCCTCATTCGATTGAGATCAGAGGCATCGAGCTCACACGCACAAGAGCCTTCAAGTACCTTGGATCAGAAATTGTGTTCGATGGCAGTCTGACCTCAGAGGTGAACTCTCGTGTGAGTGCAGCATGGGCGAAATGGCGCTCGATGACTGGAGTTCTGTGTGGCAAGACGATACCAGAGCGCCTCATACCAGTGATTCAAGGAACCGTGGTTAGAACAATAGCCATGTACGGCCTGCTGGCCCACGACCAGAGAAGTTGAAGGTCGCCTTAGCGTGATGGAGATGAAAATGCTACGTTGGGTGGCTGGAGTCATGCGCAAGGATGGGATTTGGTAATATTACATACGTGAGAAACTCAGCATAGCTCCCATAGCTGACAAAATGCAAGAATCTCTTTTCCCATGGCCATGTACTCTGCGCTGAGAGACACCATCTATAAGACTGGTCTCCTGCTTAAAGTGCTCAGAAAAGATCCTCAAAGACGCCGCAAGCAACGTTCGTTCGGACGCTGTACGTAGATTTGAATATTTCTGGTGCCCACCCTGATCACGCGTTTAACCGGGAGAAATGGCATAACAAAATTGAAGCAGCGGACCCCGCCACAGATGGGACAAGCATTGAAGAATAAGAAGAAGAAGAAGGGGCTAGGTTTGCTGTGGGCCGGGTGTGCGTCGAGGTGGGAGGAGCTACATCAAAAATTTGTGTCTCGGTTCCAGAGCGCCATAGAGACCGGAAAAAGGTGGATAAATGTCAGTAGGGGGGCCAGCGGTTGGGAAGAGAGAGGGGAGACACGCACACTGAAGCTGAGGCCAATTTCGAAAAAATCGTGAATTGGTTCGAGAGCATCCCGGGAAAAGTGGATGGATCGTCATAAATAAACTTCCGATTACCTCTGTTCAATTGATTCTGGATCAGCGTCCGTATTAGGCAGCGTTCATACTTGTAGCGCTACAGCGTCGCGCTACAGCGTCGCGCTACAGCTGTAGCGCTACAGTTGTACCGAACTCCAGCTTTTATGTTTTTTCTTTCTGTATTCAATCCTCTTCTCTTTGTTTCTCATATTTATCTGATAGTGAGCTCCTGTTTTCTACTTTATCACATTTTAATGTAGTTTTTGATACAGAAGACTGTGATAATTGGTTTTATTTATCGTTTTTGACTTTATTTGATTTTCACAGTTGCTTGATGTTTGATGGCTTTGCTTGATGTCTTGCAGTGCTGCCTCGTTTTGATCCCGATTGCGAAACTACATTAAAATGTGATAAAGTAGAAAACAGGAGCTCACTATCAGATAAATATGAGAAAAAAGAGAAGAGGTTGAATACAGAAAGAATGAATACAGAATCCAATGCCGCTTATGGATTATGGAGCGAAATCTGCTTTTCAAATTTGCCCCCAATCTCTGCCTGGATCACAGGAAAAAGATTCATGGTTTTCGAGGCATTCACAGCCAACAAAGCTTCGACAGTTTCTTGTACTTTTTTTGGCCTAGGAGCGTAAAAATGGCCTTATCTCCCACAACAGGCACGCGAACACTGTCTGGTCACCAATGCGTTAACACAAGGCAAACAAGAAGTTCCTTTATGGTTCTTCTGTCTCCGGTAAAAAAAAACATGCGTGCGTGTTTTTAGGTGGCGCGAGTACTCTTTGGGTGTTTTTTGCAGAAAATGCTCTTAATAGGACAGAAGGACACTGTTTACGAATCTAAAAGCAGTAACTGTCAAATATAGTGCTAGATAGTTACAGCTGTATCAGTCTCACCTTTCCGTGAATTTCTCAAGAAAACTCCAGCAACCTTCCCACTTTTCTCTGTAAGCAACTCTAATCATCCTAACGTTGGAAATTGCAGTACGTTGCGAAGCGGCGCTGTAGCGCGACGCTGTAGCGCGACGCTGTAGCGCTACAAGTATGAACGCTGCCTTATTAAGGGCCCTCTTTGAAATCACTTTTTTTCATTCGCATAGCTTTCAGTGGGAGGACGGTGCGGCGGAACGACGTTCGCTACCGTAGAACGCTTTGATCCTGGGAAAACAAACCCTGTGTGGCAGTGCGTTGCTCCCATGAGTGAGCGAAGGTGAGGCCCCATATGTTAAAGGTAATCATGTTTTTCAAATAGCATTCATTTTATAGGGAAGGAGTGGGTGCTGCTGTTCTTGATAATCTGCTCTATGCTGTTGGTGGCCGTGATGGGTGGACCTATTTGAATAGTGTTGAAAGGTACCACAGTTTTTCTTTGTCCTATTTCGGCACGAGTTTCCCACGGATAGTGAGCACGGATTATGCCTCTAATAGTAGACACGTTCCGCGACAAAGTAGTGCTAGAAGTTCTTAGATGCGTCAGGTGACCTGATAGGCAATTGTACAGGCTATGCTCCACTCAAGAAGTGATATCACTATGGAACAAACAAGCGGGGAATCGTACGAACACGCCTTCTCTCCTTCGTATGCACAAGCTGGCACTCGCAGCAGGCCTTACATAGATGATTTCGAACGGATTTTCAGCTTTATCTTCTATGTTGTTGTTTATTACCTAGTCGTTTGACTTTGTGCACCAATAGTCAGCATCTATGACCGCGGGCTCTGTCTTTGAAAGCAATTGGCACGATAATTCGAGTGATAATTGTAGCGGACTCACCTCACACTCGCCCGGAAAGCGTGAGATGAGGGTTCGACTCCCGCGTGAGGTTCAACCTTTGCCCATAACTCAACATTCTTGTATGATTTTCTTGAATTGATAGTTAAAGACTCGTGCAATAACCTTTATTAGTGAGCTTTCGCTGTTTTAACAGCTTTGTCAGACTTTAAAACAGTGGAACAAGCATACTTGCATTACAACACTTAATAAGGGTCGAGTTATACAATAATAACTAACCAGGTTGGCCAGGTCAGCACCAAATTGTTATATTCTGCAACACAATGTATGCAAGATACTATTAAAGCACACCACAGAAGAGGGACGCTTACCCCGACCGCACTGCCTATGTAACTGAGAGTCACCAGAAATGTGACGTGCGTGACATCTCCAATGACATCCCTATCACACCGCTATGATATCAGACTCATTGCTCCCATCAGCTCATCCCTGTTATTTATTCGGGGGATAGACGCTTGATAGCAAGCGCCTCGAGCAGCTTCCTTTCTAGTGGCTCGAGCAGCTTCCTTTTAGTGATCCTTCCTTCGAGCGATGTAATATGGTGACTTTTAGGGAGGGCGGGGCTTCTTGCTCATGAAACAGGGTGCGATGCCGTGAAAATCCACTCCTTGGGTAAGAAGAAGGATTCCGCAGCGCTCGCACATGCTCGTCCATTCGTCTGTACAGTGGCCGCATAGTTTCACCGACATATTTTCGACCACATCCTTGACATGTGACCAAGTAGACAGTTCCTCGTAACTGGCAGATCTTATTCTCTGCGCAGTAGTTGCAATTTCTCCGGCCACATTTATCTTCATATATCCATGACGATGTCAGCAAGCTTTTTGAATTTGCAGGTGTTCGGAATAATAGCTGCACTGGGAGACGAGATGACTTGACAACATGGTTCACTTTCTTTGCGGTTCGTTCGTTGACGTACGGTAGAACCAGTGGTACTCCTCCAACTGCAAAGAAAGGACGCCAGGTTTGTTGGGCGACATGTTGTGTAGCCTATTCTCTTCCGATTTTTGCTATCTTCTGTTCCACCTCCTCCGATTCCACGGTGCACGTCCTCGTCTTCGTCGTGATGAGGTTCTTTATCACGTTCGCTTTAATATGCAAGGGATGTGCACTTCGGGAATGTAGAAGAATATTCTTGCACATCGGTTTCTTATACCATATGAGCTCTCTCGTGCCATGGTCTATTCTGACCTTCGTATCCAGAAACGAGAGGAAACCGCTATCGTTCGGGTACTCCACAGTGAAACGTATGTTTGGATCACACGAGTTCGAGTTTTGAACCATCGTGTTCATCGTATCGACAGTAGTGCCGATGACGAAGACATCGTCTCTATATATACAGACATATCAGTTCTAATCATGTTGTCAAGTCATCTCGTCTCCCAGTGCAGCCAGTATTCCGAACACCTGCAAATTCAAAAAGCTTGCTGACAAAAGCTTACGTCACGGATATATGAAGATAAATGTGGCCGAAGAAATTGCAACTAGTGCGCAGAGAATAAAAGAATAAGATCTGCCAGTTACGAGGAACTGTCTACTTGGTCACATGTCAAGGATGTGGTCAAAAATACGTCGGTGAAACTATGCGGCCACTGTACAGACGAATGGACGAGCATGTGCGAGCGCTGCGGAATCCTTCTTCTTACCCAAGGAGTGGATTTTCACGGCATCGCACCCTGTTTCATGAGCAAGAAGCCCCGCCCTCCCTAAAAGTCACCATATTGCACCGCTCGAAGGAAGGATCACTAGAAAGGAAGCTGCTCGAGGCGCTTGCTATCAAGCGTCTATCCCCCGAATAAATAACAGGGATGAGCTGATGGGAGCAATGAGTCTGATATCATAGCGGTTGTGATAGGGATGTCATTGGAGATGTCACGCACGTCACATTTCTGGTGACTTCTCAGTTACATAGGCAGTGCGGTCGGGGTAAGCGTCCCTCCTCCGTGGTGTGCTTTAATAGTATCTGCAGTTGCAGAATATAACAATTTGGTGCTGACCTGGCCAACCTGGGTAGTTATTATTGTATAACTCGACCCTTATTAAGTGTTGTAATGCAATTATGCTTGTTCCACTGTTTTAAGGTCTGACGAAGCTGTTAAAACAGCGAAAGCTCACCAATAAAGGTTATTGCACGAGTCCTCAACTATCAATACAAGAAAATTATTCAACAAAATGAGGCTCAGTGATAGGTCGATAATATCACGTCAGCATTCGTGTGATAACATTCGAGTGGCACTCAGAGGAGCAGAGATGCTTAGTGCTGCGGGAACGAAGAAAAAATGGGGCGAAACGATCGGAGACCCGCGAAATGTGGGTTCTATTTCGGTCGATACCCTAGTTCACTGTGGTTAAAGCATGCATACGCAGGAGAATTTTTTTCCGATTCTCTGGTTCGGGTTCCTACATTTCTTGTTCTCCGGTCACACGCTGTGATCCAAGAAAACTATGTTTTCGAACGAAAACTCTGTCTGCCTTATCCAACTGGAACTCTATCTTCGGCTAATGGATCACTACCTTGATTTTTATTATTTTAGATACCTAGGTAATAGGTTAATGGCAAAAGGCTTTTCTACCAAAGACTTGAGAGATTAATAATTGCACATCAACACACCGTTTTCATTTCGACGAATTCATGAAATCAACACGAAAATACCTAAGTGATTCCAAAATCACCATGAAAAATGAAATTGTAAAATATGGATTCAACTGAATTGCGGCCTTTCTGTACATGACACGTACGCACGAGCGGCTGACAACACCAAGTCCTCGTGCTGCCATTTGGGCTGTGTGGCCAGTTGTGGGCGAGCGATTAGGGTAGGGGGCGTCCGGAACACCTTCTTTTCAAACCCTCAGACCTATCCCCCTCTTCGATTTGTTCCTCTCTCTAAGCTCAGAGTTGAGTCGTGAATTTTTTGACGCCATTCACCAAGGTGCACTCCACCCGCTGTGGTCATATCTGTCTAATCCGTCAGGCTGTAAATTTTTCCACCACCCTATTTTCCCCCTGGGCTGCTTATAAAACAATTTTTTTTCTCTGGGGGCCGTCCACTACTGCGCTCCCACGCCCTCCGCAGGTTTCTATAGAAAAGTTCAGATTTGATCCGACTACTGAGCAGTGGTCAAGTGACGTCGCTCCATTGCCGACGTGTAGGGATCAACATGGTGTGGCGGCAGTGGGCGGTTTTCTGTATGCTGTGGGTGGTCTATACAATGGAAACAGTCTGGATATTGTTGAACGGTAAGGCTGGATCTTAAACATTCGCTTACATTGGTATCTGCATTCTACATCTATGACACTCGACGAAGTGAATTGGACCCGAGTGGCACATACGCGCACACATCGATCTGCGCTTTCTGTATCCGTGCTCAATGACTGTTTATACGCCGTTGGAGGATGGGATGGAAGATCAACTTTGAAATCTGTGGAAAGGTTAATCAGGGAACATTCGGTGGAATGTAGGTTTGGAGATCTATATGGAGAGGGTAGTTCATACGCTCGCGGAGATTCATCTTTCTTACGGCATAGAACGTTACTTTTGAGCCGCGATAAAATAAGTCATACGGTTACAGCATCCGTTGAGGGAGTGCTGTCAAACCCCATGGGGGTCGTACTTTTGCTCTGGGGAGGAGGGGGGTCGTATTTGTAAGACAAATTTATTTTGATAGTTGATTTTTTCTTGTGGAAAGGGGGGGGGGCGGTGCCTCGGACCAATCGAAAGGGGGGGAGCCGGTCGTACTCACACCGACATTTCGCACATCCCCATGCTATACCCTGGTGGTAACGTACGCATCATTCGCACTAGGACCCAATTCATTTATCGCAGCAGTGCTCCGACGCGCCGGCTCTCTCTCTCTCTCTCTCTCTCTCTCTCTCTCTCTCTCTCTCTCTCTGAGTCTGCGTCTCTCAAATTGACAGGCCTTCTCTCTGCTTGTGTCTATCTAGCCAACTAGCTTAAATACTCTGCTAGTGCGCGCAGTGCTACTTGAAAGTGGCGTTCCACACCCACACCACCTACTCAAGCGCGTAAAATTTTTTTGCGACACCGCAAAGTGGATTTCCTGACCGACACTCCATTAAATTGCATCGTATTTACTCTGGATGGAATCGTGCTTCGAATATACCATTTCACAGAGGTTGTTTCAGATTAGACCCACGAGTTGGTAAATGGGAAGCGGTTCGGTCAATGTTAGCATATCGAAGACATCTGGGATCGGCAGTGCTCGACGGTCACTTGTATGTCGCAGGAGGATATGATGGCTCATCCCGATTAGGTTCGGTTGAAAAATATGACCCTGTCATCAATCAGTGGATTGCAGTAACAGCCATGAACATTACTCGATATGGGGTGAGGCTACATCATAACTTCCATATCCATAAAGACCTGTTTTACAAATGATTTAGTGTTGCTAGGTAAGACTGGCCGCTGTAAACGAAACCCTATATGCTGTGGGTGGGAATGACGACATTACCGACCAGGAAACCGTGGAGGTTTTTGATATCAAGTCAAACCTATGGACAAATCACAGCTGCATGAACGATGCGTGAGTCTGTACTGCTCTACATTTCTACGTTTTTCTCCTTGGTGTCAAGAGGTATGGAACGAGCCTACCAGCAACGTTTTACCGCTGA